TATATTTGTATAATTAAAATCATGTTTTTATAGAAGATAAAGAAATTAAGTTAAAGCTTATTATACTTAATCAATATTGATATTCTTGTATAAATTTTAATGTGCTTCATTCATATTTTTAAATAATTTTTGTTAATTTATTAGTTCTCATGTATCGTTTGGAGTGGATAGCCGCCACAGCATGGAAAGGCAGGCACACATGCATGTTGTAGCTAAAAATCTATATAATCAAGATGTTGAACATACTCCAGTTCCTTATGGGGTTCTCGATAGGAGAATGGTAATTACAATGCAAAAGCTTTATTTTCTTCATATATTACGTATTAGTTTTGTTCTTATATAATTGTTAACACCAACTTTTAGGGAACCTGCAATAATACTACTAACTGTTTATCATGTGGCAAAACATTAAATGAATGTATTGGACACTTTGGTTACATTGATTTGGAATTGCCAGTTTTTCATGTTGGTTATTTTAGATCCATAATTGGTATTCTTCAAAGTATTTGTAAAGTAATTTATCATTCATTTTGTTTGAATTTATACTATTTAATATATTAATTATGATAATAATTACAACGTCTTGATTTATAGAATTGTTCTCATGTTATGTTATCTGAAGTAGACAAAAAACGTTATTTAACTAGAGTGTTAAATCCAAATTTTGGATATTTGACACGTAAAGCTTTACGTAAACAAATCTTGGATAAAGCTAAAAAAACTACAGTTTGTCAAAATTGTGGAGATCTTAATGGAACTATTAAAAAGGCTGGCTTACTTAAAATAGTTCATGAAAAGTATAAAGCAAAAAAAAAAATAGATACCATTGTTCAACAAAAATTAGCAGAATATAACAATGTGCTTGAAGATAACAAGGCATTAGAAGGAATACTTCAAAGTGGATTAGTTAATGTATTAAATCCATTAGAGGTAAAATATATCATGTGTTGCCTTTCTAATATTTGCTTTAGAAGGTTTGATAATACAAAAATAATATTTTACTTTAAGGTACAAAGTATTTTAGAAAAAATACCAGAAAGTGACATTCCTCTATTATTAATGAATTCAGAGTGTGCATTACCAAAAGATTTAATATTAACAAGGATTCCGGTACCACCGATTTGCATTAGACCCAGTGTTGTATCTGACCTTAAAGCAGGTACAACAGAGGATCATTTAACAATGAAGCTGTCAGAAATAGTTTTTATCAATGATGTTATTCAGAAACATAGACAAAGTGGAGCCAAAGTACAAATGTACAATGAGGATTGGGAATTTCTACAATTGCATTGTGCTCTTTATATAAACAGTGAAATGTCTGGTATACCTCTTAACATGCAAGTAAGCTCCTAATGAACAAGATTATGTCATTTTTCACTTGCTTTAACATAGTACTAACCAAATATTGAAATATTTTAGCCAAAAAAATCTGGAAGAGGATTAGTTCAAAGATTAAAAGGAAAACAGGGTCGCTTTCGCGGCAACTTATCTGGTAAACGTGTGGATTTCTCTAGTCGTACCGTTATTTCACCCGATCCTAATCTTAGAATTGAACAGGTGAGTATTTTTTTAAACGAATCACGTAGAATATTTAAATAACGTATTTTTTATTAGGTTGGTGTACCTATCCATGTTGCAAAAATTTTAACGTATCCTGAAAAAGTTAATCCATCAAATATAGAACTGATGCGAAAACTTGTAAGAAATGGTCCAGAGGTACATCCAGGTGCAAATTTTATACAACAAGGAAAAACACAATTTAAAAAGTATTTAAGATACGGAAACCGACAAAAGATTGCTCAAGATTTACAAGTAATTTTTATTTGTAAAAAATATGTTTACATTTTATGTTTAAAAAATGCATAATTGTGCGTATATTCTTTAATAGTACGGTGATATCGTCGAAAGGCATCTTAGAGATGACGATGTAGTATTATTCAATAGGCAACCATCTTTACATAAATTGAGTATTATGGCACATAAAGCAAAAGTATTAGATCATAGAACATTTAGATTTAATGAATGTGTTTGTACTCCTTATAATGCTGATTTTGATGGTGATGAAATGAATTTACATTTACCTCAAACTGAGGAAGCAAGAGCAGAAGCTCTGGTTTTAATGGGGGTAACTATAACCTTTCTACGCAAATATATTTGCCTTAAGGCAAAGTAGACAAATTACTAGGGTGTCCTACTATAACCTTTCTACGCGATTAGTTTTGAAATTATTCGTTATTCGCAAAATATGCTTCACATAAAACTTACTCTGCTTTAAGGGGGACATCATATTATGGGCACAATTCTTCCTGGGCGAAAGCGCCTCTGAGATTTCAAGATAACATTTGTTTTTCAGAAGACACTATACAAAATGTCTCTCCAACTCTATTCTCTTCAAATATCTCCATTATTTCAAGCAATAAGCAAAAACATAACTTGCAAAAGTTGTATGATTGCAAAAAAGATGTAACATGGTGGCAATTGTTTCTTTACTTGTTTGAAGTACTTAAATGTTTCTTTTCATAGTGTCAATTTTTTGTTCTTTTTTTATGTAATATCCAACTTTTTGTTGTCAAATTAGATAGAATAGCGAATTCTAAATATAAAAGTACTAGGGTATATTTATCTTAAAACTTGTTATTTTTGAGATATTCGACTTTATGCATCCTATTACTTTCATTACGAAACATGTTTGAAGCTATGCTCAGTACTTCGGATGTAAACAAATAGTAGATAGTATAAATATCACGAAATGGCATTATTAAACTTTCGACATCTTTCAGTATTAAGAAGTTTCTCATTTAGTGATTATAAGATTGTCAGTATGAAATTTTTATTCAAAGAACAAGTAGATATGCACCTTATTTATGAAGAAAGTAGGAAAAATTCAATTAGGACACAATGTTTGTATGCTGAAAGATATTTGAACCGCATATGTCCTTTACATCGGATGTTCAAAAGATAGTGTCAAAAATTGAGAAAATGGTGAATCTTGATCCTCAGATTAATGTATGACAGA